GGGCCATGTACTCTGTTAAAGAAGCTGAAGTCATGGCAGTCCGCGAAGCTCTCAGGTTGAAAGAGAACCATATCACTCACTACCACCTTGAAACCGACGCTTTGCAAATTATTCAGGGCCTCAATTATGGTAGTCTAGATTCTTAATTTGATCTTATCCTTCTAGATGTAAAAGATTTACTTTCACCGCTTACCGATGTTTCTATCTCGTTTGTCGATCAGCGAACCGAATTGCCCACCTGTTAGCTCGGGAATCCCTTTCCCTGTCTGATCGTAGAGTTTGGATTATTGTCCCTCCTCATTTCATTATTAGCTCTTTGTTTGCGGACCTTTATTAATGATATCATCTTTTCTCCTCCAAAAAAAAAAAAGTTTGTAATACATTTTTATTAAAGAACAAGCACGTATTGTACTCTAGAATAGACATTATGATTGTTGTTGTACTAATGCTAGATTTCACGGTTCTCTCCTTTTTTTTGGCCCTGTTTGGTAAATGGCTGTTAGCTGAGAGCTGTTAATTGTTAGCTGATTGTGTTAATTAGAGGGTATAACTAGTTGATAACATTAGCTGTTATAGAAAAGTGTTTGGTAAATTAACTGTTAGCTAATAGCTGTTTGGTATAATTTTTTTTTTTTTAAAGAAAAAGTTACTTGGGGTAGCTTTTTAAATTTTAACATTTTGGAGTTAAAAAAATTAATTAACCAAACACTTATATTAATATTTTAACTAAATCAAACAATTAATAATAATTAAATAAATTAAAATTCGCCTATAGGCCAATTTTTTACCAAAAGGGCCAATAACTTTGCTCTACCCGATCCACCTCTTATGCTCTATATATGTTTCTTATATCTTCTCCCTAGAAGTATGGTTTGACTCGAACTGAAACATATTGATATCACAACTATATTATATTATATTATATTATTGTAATAGTGAAATAGATATATTAATGTTTGGCCGGTGCGATTTGAAGTTGGGTTTTTGTTTTTATTATGAAAATTATTTAAAATTAGAAAGTTTATTTAAACATGTTTCCTCTTTTAGTCTTTCTTTGTCCAGTAGTTTCGGCATCATGAAGCCAGTCTCCATAAACGACAACATCTGTAGGCCTGTACGTTTTGCCAAATATGATTGTGGCTTATAATTATGAATTACAAGAAATTCATGTAACTAAGTTTAATTTTACGTTGCTTGTGTGAAACATATTGGCTGTTGGATTCTTTAATCCTAAGTTCTAATTAACGACAAGAGAAATCTAGATTAATGTTTTATATATGTCCTCATTAATATATAACTTGAATATTTACTTGAACTTGCATATATACAATCCATATACCTTAGCTTGAGCTTTTGCAATTGAATTGTGGTGACCAATTACATAAGACTAGTTAAGGGTTTAAGTTTTATATTAATTTTTGTAATTAAAAATGTTACAATTTGTGCATTAAAAATTATAATTATATTTTTATTTAATAAGCCTTGATTTTATTATGCTTTGATTTACTGAAAAGTGTGCAATTGCCACCTCAAAGATGCGCTTTGAATATGACCCTAGTCGGCAAAGGACCCTAAGGAGGTAAACCAACTTTAGGTTATCTTAATCATTCTCATACTCTTTCGCTTTCAAGAGTAGGTCCCACTTTCGCATCATCAAATTTACAATTTTCTCATAATTCTAACCTAAGTTGCTCATTGCTAACAACTTCCACATATAGTCAAACTTAAAATCTCGCGGTTACTAGATTAATTGACTGTCCAACTCAGTTTGGGTTGCCCCAGATTATATTATATATGCTCATCATATACATACACATGCACCAATGCAAGCATATCCTTATATTTTATAGAATTAATTTCACTTTTGGTCCCACGACTTTTGATGTTCTATCACTTTTAGTGCACAACTTTAAAAATTTTTAATTTTGGTGCCTAACTTTGTTATTTTTATCAGTTTTGGTCCTTTCGCCCAAATTGACAGCGAAATGTTGCAGTATTTTATATTGTTAGGAGTAAAATCGCCATCTCAAGGAAACATCTTCAATATCTAAACAAAATCACTGTAAAATTATATCTATAGGTGTTTGATGATGAGAATAATGGGAAAGACGGGCAGAAATCAGACAGATCTATGGGATTTATAGTTTCAACCATTGGCAAACTCTTCTTTTTCATCTTAATATGATTTTTCTTTTGTTTAAATATTGAAGATCTTTCCATGGGATGACGATTTTGCCCCTAAAATATAAAATTCAGAAATATTTTACCGTCAATTTGGCTGGAAGGACCAAAACTGATAAAAATAACAAAGTTAGGCACCAAAATTAAAAAAATTTAAAGTTGTGCACCAAAAATGATAAGAATTCAAAAGTCGTGGCACCAAAAGTGAAATTAATTCTATTTTATATTACTAGATATTAATGAGATATAACGTACAATTGGATGGGTTGTCTAAAGTAGATTCCTAGATTATTATACTTCCTAAGAATTATATTTAAACATGATACCTCTGCAATAATCCTTGAATATTATATAATTAATCGTGCTTTTTTTTTCTAATGTAAATTAAATTAATTAGTCATTATTATACGATTTATTTTCCTTGAGTTGAGGAAAATGAGCTAAGCTGAGCTGTGTGTCATATCCTAAAGAAAATTATATTTTTCCTTTTTAAAATTACCATCTTATGTTTAATTTTGACGTGCTAGTATCATTGATTTTTTTTTTTTTTTCATGAGTTACTGACTTACTGTCAACTCCACTTTGTAAAAATAATCTATATAATAACTAAACAAAAATAAAATAAAATTCTAATACAATAATGAAGTGAAAATTAGAAAGTAATTTTATGATAGGAATGTAGTACTATATAAACAATTTAAATTCACTGCTGGAAATTATGGAATTTCCGACCACTTGAAAATGATTTTAAATCAAATCGAAAGCCTTGTTCTGACCATTTTTGGTATCTAGAAAAACCTTTATTACTATTTCCGATCACTTTTTACTTTCAACTTGATATAAGATCACTTTCAGGTGGTCGGAAATTCCATAATTTTCAGCAACGATTGTATAAATTTATTCTAAAATTATTTAAATGTTGTATAGATCAATTCATCATTATCCAATTAAACCTATTTAATATTATAGTAGGACCAATGAAATGGATATTTTGTGCAATAATTGAATTCGAATAATCTTTTATATAATTTCAAACGTATAAAAAAGTATAATATTTATTAAAAAAATTTAATAATTAAACTAAATTTATATATAAATAAATTAGAAACAATTAAACTCAAATCATATATCAATGAATTAATTTATTAATGTCTTAGTTTTAAACAATTAATTCATTAATATTTTTTTAAGTACTACTGACATTTAATATTTAATATTAAAAAATTATGCCACATTAATTCATTAACATTGCATGCCCTAAGTGAAGTTATAAACCAGTTTAAGTTGTTGATAGTTGATCGACTCAAACTAAAAAAGTCAATAATAAACTTCTCTCATAAATGTTAAACTTGGAACATTGGGGATACAATACCAACTATCCGACCAATTTGGCAGGATTACCTATGGTAGGCAAACTTAGCTTTCAATCAATTTGCCATCAATAAATATCTTAGAAGATGTTATATATGTAGCACCAATTCAAGTATGATGGTCAAAAACACACTTTTGTACATGCTTAAAATATTTTAGATTTAACTTTAATGACTTTCAATTCTGCAAAGTTCATTAAAAGAAGAATATGTTTTTTAAAGTTATGGTACACCACTGAATTAGTCTCTAATAAATTAAGTGTTTGAACATGGTATATATGCTATTTAGCATATAATATAATTTTGAGGAGAAAGAGAATGAATTCTCAAATATATCAACATGCTTTTGGTATTTGACTCTTTATATACACTTTATTATTTTAAAATCTTAATTATTATCATGGTAATCGCTGAAGAGCAAATACCAATTTTGGTCTCACGAGTATTAACAAAATGACAGTTTTATTCCACATGTTTAATTTCTATCAATTTTCATCCACGACTATTATTTTAGTACCAATTTTCATCCACAACTATTATTTTAGTGTCAAAATTCATTACGTCGGTCACCCCTTCGTTTAAGACATGCGAAAATATGAAATTATTAAGGGTATTTTCGTCATTTTCAAATTAATATACCAATTTGAGCATGAATAAAGTGATTTAAGCACTAAGATCTATCACAATTTGCAGTTCTCCTCCTAAAATTAAGGTATGATGAGGAGGTGAACTGCGAATTGAGATCGATTTTAGGGCTTAAATCCCTTTATTCATGCTTAAATTGGAATCTTAAGTTGAAAAAGATGAACATGCCCTTAAAATTTTTAGATTTCGGCATGTCTTAAATGGATGGGCGATCGACATGATAAATTTTGGTACTAAAATAATAATCGTGGACGAAAATTGGTACTAAAACAATAATCGTGGATGAAAATTGGTAGGAATTAAATATGTGAACCAAAATCGTCATTTTGTTAATACTCGTGGGACCAAAATTGGTATTTGCTCAATCGCTGAATTCGATACTCAATCTTAAATAAATACAGATGTCTTATATAATAATGGTATTGTATATAACAATACCCTTAATTAAGTGTTACGTATCATCTAGAAAGTCATCATTAACTTAAGATAACCTTAATAAAATGATGACAAATTAAATTACATAACACTCCATAGTTGTGTGTTAACAAGAGTTTGGAATTGAATGTGACCTTCTACTATACTTAAGAGTTTATGGATGATTAGATTAAGAGATATTTAGGCCAGGCCAAAAGAGAGATAATCACAATTCACAAGAGTGAAAGTGAAAGTGGCTAAAAATAAAAAGAAAAAGAAAATACAAAGTACAGGTCAACAGAAGAAGACTGAAAGATCAGAGACTCAAAACTACCATACCATCCAAGAATTGTAAGTGCATGAACCAATTTCTCTATATATATCCTCAGCTCACAACACTTTCCTCCCATCCCTTTCTTCTCTCTTTACTCATCATCCTGTAAATCAACAAGAATTAAAGACACAGCAAAAAAAAGAAGAAAAAAAAAAATGCCTTCGTCTTCGATTGTTGTCATCTCCAAATGCACAGTCTACCCAGAATACAAATCCTCGAACTCCAAATCCTTAAAGCTCTCAGTTTCGGATCTTCCCATGTTGTCTTGCCAGTACATCCAGAAGGGTGTGTTGTTGTCCCAACCCCCACTCGACGCCGCCGCCTTAATCTCTCTCCTCAAGCTCTCTCTCTCCAAGGCGCTGGCCCACTTCCCCGCCCTCGCCGGCCGCCTCCACACCGACGCGAAAGGCCATGTTTATATCCTGTCCAACGATGAAGGCATCGAGTTTGTGCACGCGAAAGCTCCGCATCTCTCGGCCGCCGCCCTTCTCCCTTCCCACGCCGACATTCCGCGGGAATTTCGGAGCTTTTTCCAGTACGACAGCACCCTGAGCTACGCCGGGCATTCGAAGCCGTTGATGGCGATACAGGTGACGGAGCTGAGCGACGCCGTTTTCGTCGGGTGTACGATGAATCATGCGGTCGTCGACGGCACTTCGTTTTGGAATTTCTTTAACACTTACGCCGAAATTTGCAAGGGGGCGAAGAAGATAAGTAGAGTGCCGGATTTCGGGCGGGACACCGTGTTTAATTCTCCGGCGGTTCTTAAGTTCCCGGCCGGCGGGCCGGCGGCGACTTTCTCTGGCGACGAGCCCATACGCGAGAAGATATTTCACTTCACCAGGGAAGCGATATTGAAGATGAAATTCAGAGCCAATAACGGGAAACTTTGCAACGGAGAAAACGGTAAACTTAACGGAAAGATAACGCCCGTTAATCACGAGCCGGGTTTGCAAAACGGCGGCGCGGCTTCGGAGATTTCGTCCTTCCAGTCTCTGAGCGCTCAGCTGTGGCGGTCGGTAACGCGGGCCAGGAAACTGGAGGCGAGCAAAACGACGACGTTCAGGATGGCCATAAACTGCAGGCACCGGCTCGAGCCGCGGCTCAAGCCGCTGTACTTCGGGAACGCGATCCAGAGCATCCCAACCGTCGCTAAAGCAGGGGAGCTGTTATCTCACGACTTGAGCTGGGCCGCCGAGATGCTCCACCGTAATGTGGTGGCCCACGACGACGCCACCGTCCGCCGGGGAATTCAAGATTGGGAAAACAACCCAAGACTATTTCCTCTGGGAAACTTCGACGGCGCAATGATCACCATGGGCAGCTCCCCGAGATTCCCAATGTACGATAATGATTTCGGGTGGGGCCGGCCGCTGGCGGTGCGAAGTGGCATGGCCAATAAATTCGACGGCAAGATCTCCGCCTTCCCCGGCCGCGAGGGCAACGGAAGCGTCGATCTTGAGGTGGTTTTGGCGCCGGAGACCATGGCCGGACTCGAGAACGACATGGAGTACATGCAATATGTTTCTTGAATCCAATTCGATCATCACTTCAACATTTATTTTTCTCATCTTTAAATGTACCTTAATTAAACCAATGTTAAGTAAGGCTGATTGTTCTCAAATTAAAACTCCTATGTAATAATGTTGCATCTAATCCAATTTCAAGTCGTGTTCAATATATATGCATCTAAATTAAAGATCGATCAGATTATATCAAATAATAATATTTAATTTAGAAATACATTTATTTTCTTTTACATGTTCTAAAAATTATATTGTACTTAAAACAGACATAAATACTTGTCTTTGTTTTGTCAGTGTAACATATTTTTTTGACGAGACACACCACCTCTTGATAAGATGCTAGACCCATATATGTTCCACACTTCCAGATACATTGATTGAGGGCCACAATATATATATATATATATATATATATATATATATATATATATATATATATATATATAGGGTCTGGTTTAAGTGAGAACCACTGCTTAGGTGTGAACCTGTAAACTCCTATGCAGCATTGAGATGTGAGATTAGACGTTCTGAAGAGTGGTGCAGTGGTGCATCCGGTGCAATAGTGCAGTGATGTATATTTATCAGGTCAAAATCAACGGTGCACAATGGTAAATATGTTCACATGTTAACTAATCTCAGTCATCTATCACAGTTCATCAATGAGGATTTTAGTAAAAACAAATACATATTCAATTTTATAATTTCTACAAACTTTCAACTTAGCTTTGCAATATTTATAAACCTTACTTTATCCTTTTTTCCTTATTTTCAATTACCCTCAACTGTTGATCCATTTTTTACATGGGAACATGTTCTACCTCGATCAATCCTTCTCTATATATGTGTGTGTATTGATGGGATGAGTGAAAGTTAAAGAATTGTTGGGAGTTGTTTGGATGTGATCTTTGAAGAGCAAGATCATCAACTGCAGTGCTGAAATTGAATGGCATTATATTGAAGATGGTGATTCTTGTTAATCCATCACTGTTTTAGCGTGCCACTATGAGAGGCTGTGATAGAATCTGTAAAGGATAAGAACTTTCTGTGCATGATTCAATGAGTGAAAGCTTTTTGTACACAATACATCTCATATTGACTATTTGACGGAGATCTGAACCAATGTATAAGAGATAGTTCAATTTTTAACGAACTAAGTTTTGTGGACGTGTAGTCTTAAGGTGGGACGATGTGTCCCACATTGCCTATTAAACAGTCTCAATTTGCCCTCTATGTATTTGAGAATATGTTGGGTTTACATCTCAATATTTTTCACGTGATTAGAAATTTTCTTTATTTCGAGAGTGTTTTTGAGGATTAGATTTTAGTGGCTTGCAGGCAGCCTAACCACAACCTGATATCTGTGTACCAAATAGGAGAAGGGACAGGCTACAGTTGCAATAGTAAAAGCATCAAGTGCCATGTTTCAATCTACAGAAGTGCAAATTTACCAGGTTTCAATCTACAGAAGTACAAATTTCCCAGGTTTCAATCTATAGAAGTGCAAGTTTCAATCTTTAATACACTCAGCTAAGGGGCTTTTAACTACATGTACATCAATTTGAGAGTTTGAATGGAAAAGGGGCACAACAGACCGACCCAGTTTTTCATGTCGAAATTCTACAACCATAGCACAAGAGGACTAGATTTTGAGGTTTAAGGATGGTAGAGTTCATGTCTTTAATGCAGACATCTTAGAGAACAATAAGGTTTCCATCTATCCATGAAATGCTTCACCTGTTTTCGATGTCTGGTGTCTGGAATATACGCTTAAATAGCCACTGGAGTGGCCCCGGGGACTGGGATCTCTCCTTCCTCCAAAACGAAATGGCAGCATTGTACTGCTCGTTGCGAATCTTTTTGGTCGCCGCCTTCCAGTCATATTTCTCCACTTCATCGCGTGCAGCTTTGCCAATAGTCTCTCTCAGTTCAGGGTCCCATAGAAGAGGCTTCAGTTTTCTCAAACAGTCGTCGAGATCACCAGGGTTGAACAGATAGCCAATCTTGCCTTGTTGATCGTCTGAAATAATTTCCGGGATTCCTCCAGCCCGGGCAGCCACCACAGGAAGTCCAGACGACATGGCCTCTAGCACTACTTGCCCAAGCGTCTCAGATTCCGAGGGCATCACAAAAACATCTCCGCTGGCATATGCCTGAGAAAGCTCCTCCCCTTGTAACATACCTGTGAACACTGCAGGCATGCCACAGAACATTTTCTCGAGTTCCCCTCTACAACGATGAAACGACAGAATAATTAGCAAATGCATATCACGCAAGAATTCACTGCACCACGTTTTCAAGTGCCCAAAAGTTGACCATAGCAACTTTGTTAAGACCATTAAGCAAAAACACAAAATGGTTATTCTTTTTTGGTCAGGACCATGAGGTGTCCTAAGTAGGCGCTAACTGTAAGAGACACCTTTAAGGTCCCATACCATACTCAGACTAATCCCCATTCACACCAGACCGGCCCAATTAAAGGGCAAAGTGGTGGCCAGATTGGTTTCTTCATACGAGAGGGGAATCGAACTCCCGACCTCTCTTAAGAGATGAGAGTACACGGTCACTCACGCCAACCAAGCTGGTTATTCTAGCTTTTGCAACTCACCTGTAAGGCCCGTCTCCTATAAAGGCTATTCTAGATTCTGGAATTTTATCCATGACCCTGTTTCATACATGAATTCAAAATGTCAGATGCAACGCTTCTCCACAAAATTTAGCAAAATGCATGCAAGAAATGAATTTTGTTGAACAAGATGAACAGAGAACAAAAAGAAAAGGGATGAACACATTCCTAACAAATAAACGTAAAAAATTTACACTTGTGGAAGACCCCGAGAGATAAAATATGTACCCCATCACACTAAATAGAACAGAAGCAACTTTATTATATTATCTTTTGTTGTTGTCATAAGTAAATAGAATGGCAGTACCTCTTAAGGAAATCTAAACTCTTCTCAACTCCAATTCGCCCCACATGGACTATCAGCGGCTTCTCAGGCTCCCCGTTACTTTTTGGTAAAAAAAAAAACGGAAATGAAAATGATTCCAGTATAGTAGTATTGTAAACGCCTTAGAAAACAGCCAAAGGCACTACCTTAGTCTTAAACGCATTTCCTCCGAGTAATATTGAGGATGAAAGCTCTTGGAATCAACGCCCTTATTCCAGAGTCGGATTTTGTCAACTGAAAAGAAGCATAGGCAGAGATGTTAATGGAAGAGCGTAACCACGAAGTTCATGGTAGCTAATGGACTTCAACAACCACAATGTATACGTAAGAAGTAGACGATCAACAATAGCGATTCTAACAAGGATAGAAAAAATTAAAGGGGTTACGATCCTTTTAGTCAGTTATGGAGACTAATAACCTCCATGTAATTTATTTATTTAGTTCTCACCTTCTGTTACTTTGTACTCTTCCAGATCTTTTGCAATTGCGGCAGATGGCACGAGCGTAAGATCAGCCGCTCTATGAAGAAATTCTGGAGGACAATAAATATTTAACTATCATTCATTACTAAGGAAAAGGTATGATATCAATAAAGAACGATCATAGGAATCATACTTATAATTAACCACATAGGTTGGACCAGCCAACTATAAGTATATCTTGGAATATATCTGCAAAAAAAAAAAAAAGACTAATCAATTTAAGCCCTTAATTTGATATGTTTTACAAAAAAACTGAAGAGAGGTAACATTATTATAATCAATAATCACATACGAAGTTTGAAAGCTATTAAAGTTAACATACACTGGAACGTGGGTATGGTAAGACATAACTATGGGCACAGACAAGAGTTTTGCAATGCAGAGAGCACCAAAAACCTTCAAGAGAATAGAACTGTCAATAATACAAAAATGGACGACACTTTTCCCCTTAAGCTCTTAAAAGATAACCCCAAATCACCACGTAAGAAAGCGGGGGCCATGAGCAAGTCAAAACTAACCATTATACCAGGCGATGACGCGTGTACTATATCAGGCTTGAACTGTGCGACTTCTGAGATTATTCGAGGGCTAAGAGCCAGAGAAAGGGGCACCTTACGGTACCAGGGGCAGGGAAAGCTAAAAACGAAATGAAAATCCATTAGACAAGCCAAATACTAAGACAAAACTATATAAATTTAGTAAAGAAAAGCGTACAAATAAATCAGTTATAACCTTTGTGACCCTATCAATTTCGCTCCATAAAATTCTTCTGGCACCCCTTCATGTGTTGTCACAACCATTACCTGCACCAAGCATTCAACGAGCCTATTTAGTCCAATGGTATCAACTGGACACGCTTTATGCAGGAGGTTCATCCCCTCTCAACCATCAAAAGTATAAACATAAATTTTAAGAAAATCCCATTGAGCAGTTGTATGATTAAGTCTGGATGGAATGTGAATCTGTGATGAACGACTTTAGGCTAATATAAAATTACAAGATACACTCTTGGCCCACAGAATCTTGCGAAAACAAAGTCAATTGCTCGAAGAATTTTTTTAAAGCCTCCTATGACAGAATATGACTAATTTATGAACATCACTGATAAAAGAGAGAATACCTCATCCCCCATTTCCCGCAGATATTTGATGAAATTCTGGAATCGATTCTTATAACCAGATATATAACTGCACATTCAGTCACGAAAACAATTGGACAATATAATCAGTATTTGCTGCTTGCGAAAACAAATATACCCATAACTAAGAAAAAGCATGATTAAATATTGTTGATGGTTTCTTGGCCAATTACACAATACAGATCTGCACAGATACTCTGGTCATTGTAGGGTTCATATGCACTACGTAATTGAGCAAATAGGCTCAAATCATTGCTTTCAAATGAACAATGCTAGCATGTTTTGAGGAAATCCAGAATTAAGTCCTCAAGGAAGAAGAGTTCATGAATAGATAGCAAAACATTTGTTCTTCCCTGCACAAGCACTTTGGTGTGCAAATGTGGATCAAATTTGTACATAAGAGAACAGAACTGCAAATTTATAAGATTAATGGCAATCTGGCATAATTCCACAAAATTAATGCATTAACAAGAACACATACAAAACTTCAAGTCAAATCACAATCACACACTAAGATCTTTTGGGGAGGAAACCAAGTGGACCACACAGCTGATGGGTAGAACACATGTTTGATTCTTTCTTCTCTGAGAAGGGTGAATAATAAATTAACAAGG